CTATGTCTACAATTCAGGAGGACTTGGGGATATCCAGGAAGCTGAAAAAGAATGCAAAACTTATTGGAGATACTTAAGGTAATTCACACTCACAAGGAGAAGGAATGTTCCTGAGTAATTAGTTTGTGAGCAGAAAAACTACAGCCAAAGAAATGAGGCACCATTCAATTAAATGTCAGTAATATTCTCCCAAGATGTATAAGCCATGGTATGTATAATGAGGGAATTAAATCATAAAAATGTATGACATTTCGTATAGAAGTGTACAAAAGGCATACACTTTGAGTTATGACATTCTGCCTCCAGTTTTCCTATCCATATGTACTAGCAAATACAAAACATTCATTATCTAACAATTGCTAAGATTGCAATAGAATTTGAAATAAAACTGAGTGCTCATGTTTCCAAGCCATGCTATAGAGAATCAGCCATTCTGATTAAAATTCTAAGTAGGCTGGTGGAATGTTAAGTGCATTCATTCTGAATATCAGTATGCAGTTATCTCTAGAATCTCACACTTGTCCTGGATATATTTTTAAAAACTCAAAATCCACATAAAGTACAGATACATGCTTACTCATATACAAAGCAGATCAAGTTATAAGATATCAGGCCTTGAAGCAGCTTAGCAGTCTATAACTGGATTTGTGGAGAGGAAAATGTTAATAGACTCTGTGATTGTTCATTCTTGTAAACCCAGCACCCTAGGAATCAGATTTTGCAGAATGGCAAATTCAAGTTCAAACTTCACAGCTTAATAATCAGTGAAAATTTCTTAAAATAAATATAAAAGCTAGAGATTTTATGCTAATACCTGTTGTTCATTCCCAGCATGGAAAATAAAAACGTGTTATATAATGTCAAAAAATAAATAATATAATGTCATTTGCGATAAGATATGCATGAATCTTTCTCCCATCAATTCAGTGAAATATCTCAGATATAAATCCTAAAAGGTCACAGGGTTTCTTTTAGATGAGAAACAAAAATATTAATTGTGGAATGAAATGAAAGAGGGTTGATAGAGAAAGGTAACAATGACTGGTTGGCAAAGGGAATTACAGGTTAAGGACAGAAGGGAGACTATGATTGAGAAATGTATCAGAATGATTTGTCTGTGATACACATATATACCCATGCCCAAAGTGAAGCTAAATATTCTGCATTTCAAAAGGTACCAACTTTTAAGATTTCCAAATGTGTACTAGTGTTTTGGGAATGGTTGTTTTCAACATATCTTACAAGGTCATTCTGTTGCTTCATTGTCAGAACTTCTTAACAGGCATTAAAAGCAGAACTTGATGTTAATGGAGTCATTAACACAGAGACCCATTTCATTGTGATTTTTTAAAAATTTTATATAAGGAAAGACTAAACAAACAAAATGAGTAGAAATAATGCTAGTTTCAAAGTGAAAATAAATGGCAAGAAATAACTAGTAGATGATTTCATATGGTGCTCATAGAAATAGTTAATCAAGATACAAAAGTGAAACATATGAAGTGGGGATTCAAACAGCAAGACTGCAAAAAGTTTTGTTCAACTCTCCAACAAAAACTTAGTAATATGATTATCGATCCTATAGGTGATTTTTTTCTTTACAGAAATGACAAGCTAGGGAAATCCTATGGACATACATCTTGCAATCAGTGTAAAAAAGTATTCCTTTGTACTGCAGAAGGTAATTTGAATGTTAAAGAAACAGAAACACACCACAATGTTGATATTTATAAAAAATATTGCAGTGGAGGGAAACCCTATGTATGCAAGCAATGTGGGAAAGGTTTTACCACACATGGAATTTGTAAGAAACATGAAAGAATTCACAGAGGAGAGAGACCCTACATATGTAAGGAGTGTGGGAAAGCTTGTACAACATGTACATATTGTTAAGTACATGAGTGTCTTTACTCTGGAGAAAAACGTTATACATTCAAGCACTGTGAGAAAGCTTTCAGCACACGTACTTATTGTGTAATCCATGAAAAACTTCACATTAGGCAGAAATTGTATATATTTAAGAAATGTGGGAAAGCTTTTAGCAGTAACATTCATTGTGAAGTACATGATAGAATTCACACTGGAGAGAAACCCTGCGTATGTAAGGACTGTGGGAAATGTTTTACCACACATGGAGGGTATAAACAACATGAAAGAACTCACACAGGATTTAAAAGCTGTAGTAGTTTTATTGGTATGTTTAGTGTGATTATATTTAGTACTGGTCTGTCTACTCACATTAGATTTGAGGGCACAGACATATAATCCAAAAATATCAGGTTATACCATGGTAACTATCCTTAATTTCCTATTAACTTAAACTGAAACCCTATATTACTTACATTGTCTTACTATGGCTGATTTATTCACATTTGGTATGCTTGCTGGTATCAAATCAAAGAGTAGAGGCAACTACTCTGAAGATGACAAGATGTAAAAGATATGCATTGGGGGGCTAGGGATTTAGATCAGTGGCTTAAGCACCTGCCTGGCAAGTGTGAGATTGTGAGTTTGATCCCCAGTACCAAAATAAATAAATAAATTAATAAATAAATAAAAGATATCCATTCCAGGTTTTATTATTAACTGCTTTCACATCCTACAATGTCTTCAAAGTTGTTTTTATAAAAATAGCTATGCAATGTTATGCTTAACTATATAATGCTTGATAGTGTGGACAATTCTATTGATAACAACAAGAGAAAGCATAGTACATACTGTATATCACCTAATATTTTGGTGTTATATGTCTTTTTCATATCATGATTTTATACAAATTTGTTTTGTTGTCTTGTTTTGATCTGTTTTTCCCAATAATACAGAAAGGATTGATATACACATAGAGAGTCATACCTGGGAAGAATTTCTAACCTATTTATGGGAACAAATTATATAATACACGATGTAATTAACAGATACTCTGAAGAAGAGACACTAAGAAACCCAATGCTAATTCTGTAGCATTGTGATATAAAATTGAGCAATACTATTAATTAGTCTAGTCACATATTTTTTGGTGAATTGTAATTTTAACACTGCATTTGCTTTAATCTTTTGTTGCACAGTATACATTCATTTTCTCTTTCATAAATCATGTTTCTGAACTGGATGCAATATTTGGCATTAAGATATACATCTAAAAGGCTCGGAGCATGTGGTTTTGACAAAGTTGTGTTCTTTTCACATAACTTGCACATTAATGAATGTTATGTTTTCCATGTTGTGAGGAGACAAGATATCTGCTGATTCCCTGACATCACTGGACATCATACAATATACATTATGTTGACTGATTTTCTTTCTCAGTGGTGCCAATATTCATCATTTAACTAAACTGTTGTTTATCTAACCATCAGAATTTTACTTGTTATATTTATATTGCATCTTTACTTTGCTAGTAATGTTTCCCCATATGTACCAAAGTAAACCATACTACTGTGAATTTCTGATTGCCCCGTACTGACAGAATCATAACTTGCCTCCAATGGCACATCACAAAATATATTAATATCTCCAGAAATTATAAAATTTGGCATGATTTATGAGTAACCATAGTTTGAAATCAATTTTTCTTAAATGTGGAGTTGTTTTGGGGGAAAATGTTGCTATTGGGTATATCATGCAAATGCCTTTTATTCCTTGTTGCTGTGAATGCATTATATATTTTGTAATTATTAAAGCTTTTTCCTAAAACACTGAAGTAATGGCACAAAGGGAAACCTAAATTTTGAGCTGTCAACACAGTAAAAAATTAAATTTGCTAAATTAAGATTCAGATTGTTTTACTGTTTTACTGAATTGTGAATTTATACGATGATATACCTCTTTATTTATAAGGACCAGTGCCTGATGTTTGTGGTGTGTGCCGATTATCTCTAAACACATACACTGGGCCATGAGTCCCAGTTGGTTTCCTGTGGCCTGGGATTTTCACTTCCGTTTTAACATTCATGTAATTTGTAAAGTGTTTAATGCAGTGTTGTTGAATTCAAAATCTGATTAGATTCCAATGGAATTATGTTTTTAACAAATGTGGTGTCATGAAAACACAAGTGAGCATTTCATGAAATACCCCTAATCCAGTGAAGATAGCCTGCCCAAGTCTCAATTATCCTTGGAAGAATACATTACTCACCTGTTGTGTAATCACCACTAAAACTATATCTATTTTGTACCTGAAGTACCTGACATACTTCATAAAGTAAAAGACACTGTAAAGTACATTGTCAGCCTGTACGTACTACAGCATGTGGACAGATTCCCTGAAGCACATTTCTGCTTACCGTCAATGGGAAAATTTGGAGTTGGTATTACAGCTAATAATAGAAGACTGAATCTATAATACATATATCCTGAGTACATGCACTTTCTCATTTCATCATGAAAGTAAATCCTGCTGGTCTTGTTGATGCATGCTTGTAATCCTACTACCTAACGGAGCTTAAATTAGTGGAAGAGGAATTTGAGTCTAACCTACACAATTAGTGTGACCCTGTCTCAAAATATATCATCAAGTTCTGCAGATGTAGCTTAATGCTTTAGATCTCTTCCCTTTCCTCCCCAGCATCAACATTTGTTAATAGTCACAATTACACATCAATAGTTGTCCTTTATCACTTGGCCACCTAGCAGTTATCCCCAAGAATCACTTGGGAAGCCCATTTGTTTATGCAGTGACCATCCTGAGCATCATTGGGGCAGTTGTCAATTTAACCCATTCATTCTTGTATTGAGTATAGTAGAACTGTCACTTTTATATTCCTTGTTATTTTATAAAAACTAAGAAATGTAGGGAGCCGAGTGACAGGCATTGCTGCCTAGATGTCTCTCTCTCTCCTATGGGCACTGCGTCTGCCTACATTAACCATAATCCTCTTCTGCTTACGTCACTTATCCGGATGTGATGGTAACCCTGTTGTATTCATCTGTTTAACCTCTTCCTGTCCCAGCTCCCGCCCTTAGCCTATAAAAGGTGTGATTATTTTCTCAATTAAACCGGAGGCTTGATTGGGTTAACATCAACTTGCCTTCGTCTCTTTTTGTCTCCCCTATGTCTTTTATTTAATCCCCGTTTCTCCTCCAGGAGTTCCGAACTTGTTGATCTGCAGGCCGGATCAAGTGGCGCTCAGCGTGGGAGCCCCTGGCACGGAGAAGTTAACGAGGGAGCCGTTCGAGAGACAGCCGGCTTAAACCGAAAGTGAAAGCAAATTGAACCAGAGACCTCGGCAGAGGAATGAGTAAACTGAATCAAGGATTAAAGTTTAAAGCAACAGGACATTAAATCAAGTGCCGAGACCTGCGCAGACGACTACCCGACGTCCTGCCCGAGTCACGGTGAGTGAACGGCAACCCCATTTCCCTTTCCCGACATGGGTCAAGTATTGAGCGAACATGAACTGTTCGTCGGAGGCCTTATAAAGGCATTAAAGACAAGAGAGATAAGGGTTGAAAAACAAGAATTATTACAGTATTTTCAGTTTATTCATAAGGTTTGCCCTTGGTTCCCCCTAGAGGGTTCTATAGATACCAAGAGGTGGAATACAGTAAGAGATGTTTTAAAAGATTATTATAGAGTTTTCGGTCCAGAAAAGGTTCCTGTGACCACCTTTACATATTGGAATTTAATTTCTGAGCTGCTTGCCCAGAAGCATGCAGACCCTCAGGTTGAGGAGACAGTTGCACTAGGTGAGGCTGCCTTGCGCGACTTCCTTAAATCTACCTCAAAACCGTTCTCAGAAAAATCTGAAGCCACTAATTTCTCAGATGCAGAGAATGATGGCCTGTTAGAGGTCCTCATACATGGTGATCTGCCACCACTTCCACCTGTTGACACGATCAGCAGGTCCCAGGATGGCAGCACGCCACTCCCTGTGCCTCCATGGCAAATTGGGGATTCATATAAGCCTTTAAAAACAACCTTAACTCTGAAAAGCTTGCAGCCGCAAGGCAGCTGGTACAGGACCAGTTAGATCCAGGCCACATTGTTCCTAGTAATTCCCCTTGGAACACACCTATCTTTGTTATCCGGAAAAGGTCAGGAAAGTGGAGGCTGCTACAAGACCTTAGGGTGATAAATAAGACAATGGTCTTAATGGGGCCTCTACAGCCTGGCCTCCCCTCACTCAGTGCCATTCCTTTAGGATTTTTTAAAAATTGTCATAGATCTTAAAGATTGCTTTTTCTCTATTCCTTTACACTTCATGACTTCCAAAAACTATTGGGAGATGTTAATTGGCTCATACCATTTTTAAAACTAACTAAACATGATTTACAACCCCTTTATGCACTGCTTCGGGGAGACATAGATCCAACTTCCCCCCGAGAGCTTACACCTGATGCCAGGAGAGCGCTCAGTAAAGTAGAAGAGGCTATTGCTCAACAAACTGTTTCCTTTATGGACTACAATGAGCCTTTACAGTTTCTCATTTTTAATACAAAGCTTTGCCCTACAGCAGTGTTCTGGCAACAAGCTCCCCTCATGTGGGTCCATTTACCAGTCTCTCCAAAAAGAACACTTTTGCCTTATTTCCAAGCTGTCTCAGACCTAATAATCCAGGGTAGAAAGCAGGGAAAATGTTACTTTGGCAAAGAACCAGACATTATCATTCAACCTTTTACAAAAGACCAAATAGATTGGTTACTTCAGAGTACTGAAGTGTGGCCTATTGCCTTAGCTTCCTATTCAGGGACTATTGACAATCATTACCCTCCAAATAAGCTAGTTGACTTTGCTAATCGTCACTCATTTATATTCCCTAAAGTCACAGCTTCACAACCCCTTCCGGGTGCCCTGGTTTTATTCACTGATGGCTCATCCTCTGGAAGAGCTGCTTATGTATCTCAAGACAATGTTTCTACCCTCCAGGCAGATACTTCCTCTGCACAATTAGCAGAGTTAGAAGCTATTCTTGCAGCTTTTGCTGCTTACTCTGACCAACCATTTAATTTGTATACTGACAGTGCTTACCTTGCTCAGTCTGTTCCATTATTGTTGCTACTATATGTCATGCTTCCCCAGCTGCAAATCTGTTCAAACAATTACAATGCTTCATATGGCTTCGCCGTCATAAGTTCTTTATCGGTCATCTGCGAGCTCATTCCAACCTCCCAGGGCCTCTTGCCCAAGGAAATCATTTGGCTGATGTTGCTGTACGAGCACAGGTTTTTATGGCTCAGGACTCCAAGGTGTCTGAGGCCCAACAAGCCCACCAGCTACATCACCTCAATGCTCACACCCTCCGCCTTCTCTACAAAATTACCCGTGAGCAAGCCAGACAAATTGTAAAAAATTGCCCATCTTGTGCTATCCACTCACCTGTTCAACACCTAGGAGTCAACCCTAGAGGTTTAATTCCTAATGCCTTATGGCAAATGGATGTTACCCATTTCAATGAGTTTGGCAATCTAAAATATGTACATGTCATCATTGACACTTATAGTGGCTTCATTTTTGCCACTCTCCAGACTGGAAAAGCTGCTAAACACATTATAGCCCATATGCTGTCAGCCTTCTCAGTTCTGGGATGTCCTCAACAGCTTAAGACCGATAATGGCCCTGGCTATACCAGTACCTCCTTTGCTCAATTTTGTAAAAGCCTTAATATCCTCCACACTACAGGTATACCTTACAATCCTCAGGGACAAGGCATTGTTGAACGTGTGCATCGTTCTCTTAAATTCACCATTGATAAAATAAAAAGGGAGACATGGTACCCCACCCAGGGGTCCCCTAGAAATGTCCTTTCACATGCTCTTTTTATTTTAAATTTTCTGACCCTGGATGCTTCAGGCTGCTCCGCAGCATCTCGGTTTTGGCATACTCAGACTCAAACACGGTTTGCATCTGTTTTATGGAGAGACCCACTAACCAATGTGTGGAATGGCCCTGATCCAGTCCTTATCTGGGGACGAGGTTCAGTGTGTGTTTACTCTCAACAAGATAGAGAAGCTAGATGGCTACCTGAACGCCTCGTAAAGCAAGTAGACAGTTCTTCAAAGACCCCGTATAACGCCCAGGAATAATGTTATTTCCTGAGGCACAATCCCCTGTGTTCTCTTACAGGTGACACATCTCCTTGGAGCCTTATGCTGCTTAACCAGCCTTCTTGAGCCACACCACACCCATGGTGGATTTTGACCCCTGCCAAACAGACTGCAACTGCTGACAGCCATGCACAGAACCCCATGACTGCGGAAGAGGCTCTTCTCGGTCTGGAGGAACGCCAGCCAAATAGACTGCATCCAGTGTTATACAAGGCATGCTCCAAGACACAGGAGAATGACTTCATACAGAGACACCAACAAATGACTGTCAACCCCTTCTCCTTGATTTTGGGGGGGGGAGTTTTTCCCTTACCTAGTCCCACTTTTGGGTCCCCTAGCTGACCTATTGTTTCTCATTTCTGTGAGTCTTGTATTTTTCAGAGGATTATGATGTTCATTAATAACCGGATAGACGCATTTATGGCAAAGCCCATTCAGGTACACTACCATCAGCTGGAGATGACAGATCAACAAACCTACAGGGAAGGAATTCCCACGAGTGGCCCATATGATGATGCGGCCTGACTGCCCTGGGGCAATGGACAGGCAGTCAGAGACGGGCAACTAGGACATGCATGTTAATTCCAACAGCCACCTAAGACAGGCACAGGACCAACTGCTGTTCTGCAAGCCCATGACGGGTAAGGCCTGGTTGGGTTCATGCAATGAGGTCCTTGACCTAAGACAGATGCTGTCCTCACAGGGCCTGCCATACTCTTAATTAAATAATATAAAAAGGGAGGAGATGTAGGGAGCCGAGTGACAGGCATTGCTGCCTAGATGTCTCTCTCTCTCTCTCCTATGGGCACTACGTCTGCCTACATTAACCATAATCCTCTTCTGCTTACGTCACTTATCCGGATGTGATGGTAACCCTGTTGTATTCATCTGTTTAACCTCTTCCTGTCCCAGCTCCCGCCCTTAGCCTATAAAAGGTGTGATTATTTTCTCAATAAACCGGAGGCTTGATTGGGTTAACATCAACTTGCCTTCGTCTCTTTTTGTCTCCCCTATGTCTTTTATTTAATCCCCGTTTCTCCTCCAGGAGTTCCGAACTTGTTGATCTGCAGGCCGGATCAAAGAAAAAGTATGCAATTTTTGATAATTTTGTATTTAAATAATTGCATTTGTAAGGAGTTACCTATAAAGATTGGCTAATGGTGATTTCTTTAGTCCCAGCCTCAAGAGAGAATGAGATGGGATGATCATGGCTTTGAAGCTGACTTTGGGTGGCAACTGCTAGATGATTTAGCAGAGTGTGAAGCAGTTGTTTTTATCCCTGCATTTGAAGTTTAATGAAACAAGTAAGTTGAGGTCAAGAATAAAAATGTATGATAGAACAAAAGAATCACTACTGCAAATTGTGAGTTTTCTTTCACTCAGGAAATGTACTTTTTATTATAATTTGTGCAGCACTTTCAAATATGCCTCTATTAGAGTAATACATAGTGAAACATGAAAGAGCCAGACATTCCATGTTCTGAATGTAGAGGTAGTAAAACATTTTTTCTTAATGCTATTGCTGCTGTTTTGTGTAGAAAATAAGACAGGGTAACAAAACAAGCAAAAAGGACTTTGTCAGACTTTCATCCTCCTGCATAAACATAGAAGCCACAAAAAAAGTCAAACAAGATGGTGAAATAAACTACAGAATGAGAGAAATTGTACCTGTTCCTCCCTGATAGCTAACATGTAAAACCCATAGGAACGTGAAAGTAACACACATTTTTCAGCATATGTACAACTTGCTAAGAAATACCTGAAGAACTATTGAGCATTTTTGCACAATAGAGAAATTAAAATAGAGACATCATCTCATTGCAGAGGAAACAAATCACCACAAGATTTAAGGAAGGTACATGAGACTGCAGGAGTAAAGAATCTATTTAACCTTGTTGGTGGTAATGTTGGTAAGTATTTCAACTACTACCGAAGTCAATTTTTAAAGTATTCAAAAGACTAAAATTAGTAATTCTCATTAGTGCAGTGCTTCCTTTAGTGGGTCTCTTCCTCAAAGAGTTAAGGACATATTGCAGTGATGCATGCAGATTCCTGTTACTGCAGCAATAGTCATTTTTCTGTGGAGAGCAGCAGCAAGCAGTGCTCCATCACCACCAAATATCAATGATAAACAATAAATACTCACCAGTGTACTCCATTTGGTAAACGGTGTGATATTTTATTGTGAAATGGGCTGTAAGTTAGGTTTTCCTATAGGTCAGTATAAACATGAAAGTCATGCTAATGTCACAAGGGAATCACTGGTACACTATTATGTTCATTAGATTTGATATATTTATCTTTTTTAGTAAGCATGGTGCTATGAAGTCCAGGCTGGCTTTGAGATCACTTTATAAACCAGAGTGGTCTCAACAAGTCTCCTTCCTCAGTGTCTTAAGTAATGGGCTCAATGCACTAGCCATCAGGCCTAGTTTAGATTTGGTATATTCGGTGTATTCAGTATATTTTACTTCAACTGCTTTTGTTGTTAAAGTATTTCCACTATTTTACATCCAGCATCAGGAGAACCCTCAGTCTTGTTGAGGTGGTGATGTGCATACCACCAGCCTCGTGACATTCTCTCCTGGGTTCAGTGCTGTCAGGGTACTGTAGTGAAACATAGGTGTACATAACTGCTTCTTTTTGTAAATTCCTTAGAAAAGATTTTTAAAATTTCCATGGATAATCAGAGGGTCAATTTCCCTGACTATAGTTTCATTCAAATGCCCATGGTTATGTAGTGTGTAGGACACACAGAAACATATCACATAGTTCCAGTGAGGGGTTTATCAAAACAGATGTGAAGATTATTTTGTGAAGGTTTGTGTTCCTGATTATTTCATTTGAATGAGCCTCAGGTTTTCTCACTGTTGTTTATGTGAAGCAGACCAGATGACCACTTTAATATATGAAGTGATATAAAGCCTGTTTGGATTTTAAGTATCTAAAGAACTGCTCTGGTGCTGTGGCCTGCTTAGTAATGGTCAACTTGGATTACCCAGTGAATGAAGTCATCATGGTTTTGGGACAGAACATGCATTGATGGATTGTTTAAAACAGCATTAAAGGAGAACTAGAGGGAAAGGAGCTGGGATGTTGATTCTCATGGAGAAGCTGGTAGCACTGGTTTTCCAGATATGATCTCAGCCATCATCATCATCATCAAAGAAGCTCAGGTCCTCATTATTGCTGTGCATGGCTACTGTTCTCTTTTGAAGATCTCTGGCTCTTATCTTGAGATTCATGCCTTGACTCCAGTAATGATCACTCAACTTTGTGGCACAGATTCTATGACCAAAGGAACAGAGATTCTAGCTTCTAACACTGAATTTTGAGCCTTCCTGGGTACTATCTTAACAGAGACTTTCATGACACATTGTAAGTGCCTCTAAGTCTCCAGGTAAACTTTTGATTGTCCTGGCCATGGCCTCAAATTCTTCAGCTGTACTTGTGTTGGATATTGTCATAGCATTCAAGTACTCAGTTGTATTTTTTGGTATCTAGTATCTGAAAAGCTGTACATCTCTCTAAATCTGACATTCTGGGATAAATATGTTTAAATTATCTTATCAATTATAAGTTCCATGTTAAGTGTCTTTCCTCACAAACCCTGACTATAACAGATGGGAAAGGATAAGATGTGACATATTTGAGACAGGAGAAATTTCTTTAGTTACCTAAAGTTATATGCCATTTTTCTCTTGGAAAGAAACCCAGATATATCAATAGATTGATTTTTAGGACTGTTGATAGCTTCTCCAATACTATCAAGCCATTACATTTTGTGTTGCATGGGCAAGAAGTAGGTGTGTTAGGAACCTACATGGTGCTGCAAGTCACCTGAACATAAGCCTTTGCAACCTATGCTGTCTGGCCTCTGTGTACGTAAATTGTCACTAAAGGATGCACTCACAGAGGCAGTAATTTTTCATTGGCAAATAATTTGCAAGTCTCTCAAGTCTTTTACTGGTGTTCTGATGTGAAGAAAAATGTAGAATGCACAACCTGAGTTCCAAGAAATAATTGTGATACCAATATATACCTATCTGAACTCAATTAACATACAAAAATCAAATCCAGACTACAAAAATGCTTTGAAAGACATTTCTATGAAGCCTGACACTACTTTGGAAATCCCTGCTAAGTTTTATAAGGTCCCTACTACTTTTCATGATCCCCTACCTCCTGAGATAGCTGGCCTAGTTCTTTCCTGTTAACATGCATCAAAAATAGCCACTTTTGTGATTCCAAATGTCATTGTTGCTGCTTATTCAGGCATATTGTTGATTCAAGTGTGATCTCTCTTACCCATTCAACTAAATGTTTCTGAATCTGTAGCTAAACTAACTGTCTTGTCTTATGTCTACTCTAAAGCTTGTCATGTTATTTGTGGAAATCAACGATTTGACTGCAATTTGTTGTCTCCTGCTATTCCCATAGGAGATGCATGCCGAAGCCTCTCCTAAACTGTTGACAACCTTTCCTTTTCATGTTTGCTACTGGAGCTGGTGTTTCTCTTTTACTTCACTAAGTTGGTGATATTTTATTTCCATGGGCAATGCTATTCCCTCTCATCTCTTGAGATTTACTGGAACACCTATAGTCCTTAGAATTGATTTAATCACTACTATCTTGGCACTTACCAAGGCTTACTTTTCCTTTTTGCTGTCCTCTGCTGTTCCCTCTGCAAACACAGGCCTGTAGAATTAGCTCAGTGGCATGAATGCCTGTCTTGCAAATGCACAGTCATGATTTTGATCCAATGCTCTTTGAATCCCCACTTTTTAAGAAAAATTTATTTAAAAGGAAAAAGAGAAAAAAACAAAAAAAGTGGTGTAAGGGTACAAGTAATACAGACAAAAAAAAAACAGTAAGAAATCACCAGTTAATAGATTACACATTATCATCTTAGAGATAGTTGCTCAAGTCACAGTATCAAAGCATACAAAGTGGACATTCAACAGTGAGACTGTAAACAGTTGTCTTCAATGATCCAACCAAAAACATTAATATGGTCATCTATTTAACACACCTAAACACACTTGCAGTTGTATCCCTCAGAGCACTTTTTCCCCTCTCTTTTTTACAACACAATTTACACATTTTGGATTTTATTACTCCTTGGTGCTTATTACTTTTTTGGAAGAGAATAAAGTCAAATATTACAAAACAAATCTGTCAGTCAAAACCAAGGATAGACATAGCACATGATGTAAAAACAGAGTACAAGGTTATCAACAATTGTTACCATAATTCCTCTTGCTTCCTTAAAAAGAATAGTCTACCTCATTAGGTATTATAAAGTTGAACTAAGCAGTAGAGAATAAGACCAATAAAACCTAAACATTGTAAACATTACAGGACTTCCAAAGGAGATAATAGTCAAATGAGAATGGGCATCTTAGTGAATCTTATTGCCTTATAAATAGTTGCCTATACCCTTAAACTTGATACTATCATACAGAATGGAAAAGAGTCTAATCAGTCAAAACAAGATAGTGGGAGTATTACGTGACTTCAAATCAAGTTAATAGGAAATCAAAAATGTTACTATAATATATATTGCTAATTTCTTTTATTTTTTCCCCTTAATTAAAAAATCATAAAAAATAACTAAATATTTTTTAATGAATAAGGGAGAGATTGAGATAAAAGAGGACATAACTACATAACAATACAGGTCAAAGCATGACAATTTCAGCAACCTAGTGCTTCAGCACAAATAACCCGACTTAATAGTAGTTACCATAGTGTCTGTCTTTTTCCTTGAAATATTTGAATATAATTTCATATACTATACCTTCAAATATTTCCATATCAAGCATCCCAGAATAAAGCCATTTCAATTAATAAGTGAAAACTTTGTAAGGCTTCAAGGCCACATAATGGGGAATCATGTGAATCCCCACTTTGTATAATCCACTCTTGTATCTTGAACACTTATTTGTAAGAAGACAATATGTAAACAACCAGTGATT